AAATTTTTCCAAACGTTGGTTATCATCATTTAGCTGCATTATTGTCATGAAACAAATAAAATTTTGAACTTACAAACCCAAAGCACTTCTGCCAGAGCGATTTCACTTCCATCCTATTTACAAAGGATTCCGCGCCAAGACAGCCAGCAACATCTCAGGCTTGATGGGAAGCATATATGCGAGCGAAGAATTACTTTCTTGACCTAACAGAGTTGAAGATTCCTTCCCTAATGCAGTACCAGTGTGTTGAAGAATCCTTCCCTAATGCAGTACCAGAGATAATAGATTTGTATGAGAACGGCCAGCTTCCGAAGAGAAATGCTTTGTTCATTTTCAATATGATTTAGGCTGGTGCCTGGTGTGTGTCACACCTCATCGTCTTAATTTGTCGTTGCATCTCAGCTTAACCCCTTACCACTGGTTTTTTTACGCGCACTGTCTAAAATACCGTTGTCAACACTGATACACAACTTCAGACAAGGCATCGGTACTTCTGGGAATCCTCAGTTTACTGAATGCTTTGTCGGCGTCAGCAGCAGATCTTTCAAAATGCCACTAACTACAGTTCTCGGATACATAGTTATGTTGTCTTCGGGCTCACTCACAGTAATGCGCCCTGCTATATCGGTTCCAAATTTCAAGAATTAGTCCATTTGCCTCATAGTTTAATCTGTAACTTCAGGCTCATGAAAAAAAAGGCCGGCGTTGAGAGAGCAAACCTTACCAGAAAAAAACACGTGACAAGTTCTAAAACTGAAACAAGATCACCATACCAGTACAGAAAAATGCAAATTTCGTCATTCGTTATATTAGGCAGTAAATTCTGTCGGAAAGCAGCATTCGTTTCGTTGTCGTGATGAGCGATACAGGCGCGAGCGAGAAGGGTATGGAAGAATTCCCAAAAATGCCTAAAGATTACGATGGATTCATTGTCGTACCATCCAACTGCATCAATGTAAGCACTGTTCCCCCGCGAACGGTTCACTTCGCTTTAGGGTTCAATACTTTCGTGTCATTTAAAACTTTATCAGGATTTTCGGTGAAATATCTAGGAGTTTCGCACCGAAGGGTCGATATGGTTCCTAAACAGGCAGACAGAGAAGCAGCAGACTCTCTTCTATTTTATGTAAGTGAGTGCTGGCTGGACAAATTTGTCAAATTTCAGTTACGATTAAATGATACGACATCAATAACGT